CAAACACATTTCACGGACACTTAACCAACAATTCGGTTTAACCAAGGAAAGGAGCCCGTACTAGGAATCTAAGCTAGAATGGCTTGGTGGTTTCCAGGGGGCCCCCAGGTAGAGGGGAAAGGCACTGGTCACCAGGCAGCGGGGGGCGGAGGCAGACAAGGTGTGCAAAGCCAAGTGGTGGGCGAGCTTCCCAGGGAAAGAGACAACCGTGCCAAGTCGGTGGGCAGGGATAAGACAAAAAGGCTGGAAGCACACCAGGGGAACATGCATCTTTAGGGGCAGGGTAAAGGCTTACAAGAGCCCTGCCCTTACCCCTCAGAGACAGTGGGTGGAGGAGCAAGCCTTCCCTACTTACCTCTCTCCACGAACCTTAACACAGCCTCCAACTATAATCAGCAGGAAAGCCCATGTTTCCCTAAACATTCCACAAACACTTCTCAGTGCCTTTGCCCCCAGAATTCCTACAGCATGGAAGACCCTCCCCACCCTCTCCACTGGCATGAGACAGCAGCTCCTTTAGAAAAATGCCCCAGATTTCAACAATCCGGGGTTTTTTTCACTCAACAATCACTGAGTGCTGATAATACGGATTCAGACAATACGGATTCTAAAAGCAGTAACATTTGGACCTGGCCCACAAGAAGTGGGCAACCAAGGAACGTGAGACCAGCAAAGGAGGAAAGTTGAATGAGTTACAAGCTATGCCTGTGGGTGCAGAGCTGACACACAAAGCCAGAGCCCAGCCCTGTGGTCCAGACGAGAGAGAGAGGGAGAGAGACAGACAAATACACACACACACAGGGCCATGCTCTAGGGCAGAATCCTGAAGCTTTCCCATTTAAAAAGAATGAATGTTCCAAGCAGAAGCAGGAGCAAAAGCATAAGGGGTCCTGTCAGAAAACGAACCACCGGCGGTGGTGGCTGGAGTCTATCAGAGGCGGAGCCGAGGGAGAGGCCGGTGGAGAGGAGGAAGCCCCCACGCAGGGGGCAGGCGGGAGCTCAGCTCAGCATTCTTACTGCGGGCCTACTGTGTGCCAGGCACCACGAGCGGCTCCCTCATGCTGGAAAACTTAAGTCACTCTTCTGGAAATTGTTTAACACCTTGTACTGTAAAGGTATAGATGTCTAGATTGTGTACATAAATACAATTATAAAATAAATGCACACACTTACATATAAATGTAGTTTTAATGTGTCTTCCCCACGGTCAATTAGCAACTCAAGCTGGCAGACGGGACGGCCACAGCCCCAGAGGGGTGGCAGAGGCCCACAGACATATTTCCCAGGGAAGCGATCAGGCCCTGGGAGGCCAACCGAGGCCCATCTGTTGAGAGCGCTAGGACGCGGTGTGTGTGCTGCTGGAGAGACTCAAGCCCCAGTCTACAACTCTCGCCCAACTGTTCTTAGGGTGTGCGGATTAGCTAAGCGCATAATTTACTCATTTGTTAAGGTAATATCCATTTGCGCCAATACCTTGTCACGCAGAAGAACACCTGACACTGTCCCCGACGGTGCTGAGTTTACTGCCCAGCGAAGAGACAGAAAGCAAGGGCGGTCAATGGCGGTAGGTGCTGCGCAGGACCAGAAGACAGGGCCGCATCAGGTGAGGCCTCGGAGGCCCCGAGACGGAGTTGCGATTTTACCCAGTAAGAGGCCACCGGGGAGTTTTAGGAAGGAGAGTAACGTTGCCTTTGTGTTTTTACAAACTCACTCCGGCAGCTGCGTGAAGAAGGACGAACGTGTGAGGAAACGGGAAGACCCAAGGGGAAGCAACGCCCGCAGCCCAGAGAGAGAGGAAGGTCGCGCGGCGCAGAGTGGATGCCGCAGAGAGGGCGAGGGGGGAGGAAGCCCAGACTGTGCTGGAGACAGAGGGAATCCTTCCACGCAGCAGGAAGTGTCAGAGAGGCATCCTGGGTCTGCAGCAGGAGCGGCTACGTGCGTGGGGGTCCAGCGCCCTTACTAAGACAGGGAGGACTGGGGGAGGGACAGACTTCAGGGACAACAGTTAAGAGGCTCCTCTCTGGCAGGTAAGTATCAGATGTTTATGAAAAATACAAATGTAGGTATCAAGAGGCGGTTGACCACTTAAGTCTGAGACACAGAAGTGAAGATGGGCTGCACTTAGAACCATCTAGGTGGTGGCAGGGAGAGCGGGAGTTTAAAATATTGATATAGAAAAAGCATGACTTCAACCACAGGACCCAGAATCACACAAGTCCACGATTATTGGTATACTCAATCTCAATGTGCTACTGAAAGATCTAGAAAAAAACTGACCCACACACTTATCCCTAGTAAGCACAGCCCTGACACCTCTTTAATCCTTCCCAGTCTCAGAGAGAGAAAACAACTAAAGTGCATTCTAGTATCATCAGTGAACTTTCCAAACAGGGCTTTCTGCATTCAGTAACCCTGCAACCAAACACAGCACTGCGAACATTTACCTTTACTTCCATACTCTGAATTAAAGCTGCCTTTAAGCCTAGGAAATCATGATACAGTTGAACACATAACAAAGTCCTTTTAAATATGTGAAAATAACAATCTTCTGTGGGAGCGATCTAACATGGTCTCCTTATACCTCACTCAGCGGTACAATAAGCTATATCATAGAGACAGCCATAGATTGTCTTAAGGATACCTTAGAGGTTTCAGTTCAAAGTATACAAATATAGCTCTGTTCCATTATTTTTAGCCTGTTCTACTAAGTATTTTGTGTCTTCTTAAATTGGGACACCACTGTTTTTGAGGTTAATGTGACTGATAAAATCAAATGTGAGGTTTCGAATTTCTAACTGAAAATAGAGATTTAAAGTCTTTGGACTTGAGCATTTTATTTTGTCTTTATCTAAAAGTAGTAACTTTTATACTTGAAAATAACCATTTCAGCCAATTCCTATATACCAACATCTTTGTCTTTATCACACAGCAACAACTGACCAGAATAAAACCTGAAGTTTCCTGCCTTCCTGTCCTGGTACAGAGAAGTACACGGAGAAGCTGGCACACTGCGTCCCCCTGGGGAGGCAGTGTACTCAGCCCCGAGAAGGGGACAGGGTGACAACCTCCTTATGTCGTCAGAAACCTCCTCTTGCACGATCCAGAAGCAAGACCATCCATCAGAGGTAATGGCCTGCTCCAGCCCTGCAAACACAACGATTCTAAGCCTGATGCTGTCCCTACCTCTTCCCCTCTTCCACACGGGTGGTTCTTTCTGCTCTCCTACCCAACCCTGACCTCTATCCAAATGGTATCTCAGTTAAAAAGGCCTCTACTCACTTGCTCTGCCAGTCAGCAAATGTAATGGGAAAATAAGTTGCTTCCATCAACTGCTTTGGGATGAGCAAAAACACCTCAGTCTCTCTCTTCTTCTGAAGTTCATATTTCTAAAGTCACCTTGAATTTCTTAAAAACCCAGTAGTCAATTATTTAATATCCCATTGGCTACTGGACTCACAGACTTGAATCCAGCCTCAACTTAGTGAAATCAGAGCCTTATTGCTAAGGATCAGTGCTAACAGAGGGCTGTCACACTATGGAGGTGGTATTGTGCATATGGGTCCCAACAAGTCTGGGAGAGACCAAAATCTTCACAAATATAGTACAAAACTCTCTGCCTCTGAGCACTCGTTACTTGTCATGCTCAATTATACTTTGCAATCCTTAGGTTCTCACCTCAGTTACATTTTTTTAAAAGTGCCCATACCCAACACCCTTTAAAATTCAACAGTTTGAATTTAACTCAGCAAAATCTTTACTTTAAATACCTAATTAGGTAATAAAGTGACAGGTGCTTTGTTCAGAGAGCATCACATTAAAAGAGTTCTAACATCACATGTTTTAGAAATGTTTAAAAGGGGCGCTGGCTCAGTCGGCGACTCTCTTGATCTCGGGGTTGTGAGTTCGAGCCCCACGATGGGTGTAGAGATTACCTAAAAAGAAAGAAAGGGAGGAAGGAAGGAAAGGAAAGAAAGGAAAGAAAGGAAGAAAGAAAGAGAGAAGAAATGCTTAAAAGCCTAGACAAGAATTACTAGATGATGCTGACAATTTGTTAAATGAGAAGTGATCCAACAGCGAAACTGTGGTCTGGTGCTAGCGCCTCAACATCCTGGAGGCTTTAAAAGTTTTAAGCTAAACACTAAACTGAGTCAGCCTGAAGGTCTACTTATAATACTGCAGGTCTTTACCCAGTACAGGTTTCTTCCTTTTAAAAGTCTTTCCTGAGTAGGTTAACATGATACTTGAATATACTCTTTAAAATAATAATACATGTATTAAATTCTTTATTACGGACTTCATCCCCCCAGAGGTAATATTCACTAGGTACTTTAAGAGAAGCAGATAAATTATTTGGTCTTATTCATACATGGATCACACGGCATTTTTAACTTCTAAACATGCTTCCCAAATACTATCTTGAATGTTACAATGAAAATGCTATATTTTATATTTATAATTTTATACAAATAAAAACCCTAAAACATTAAACTGGAAAATGTTTATTTACAGTATTACTGACCCTTAGTGGTAAGCCCACCTTACAATAATAGGGAGTTTCAAATTAAATACACAATCTTTATAGTGAGTAAAGAAAACCAATTTTTGAAATAAGAAAAACCACACTGCTCTTTTTTCCTCCAGTCCTATTTAAGTTAAAATTAGTCTCTTTATTCTTTAAAAACTTCCACATCACAGAACGGATATGGGTGCCTTAATTAAAACACACAAAATAAAACATAAAACTCTAAGAGACACAGAATAGAAAAGATAACTTACTTAAAATGCACTTCCATAAAAATATTTTTATTTACTTTTCTAAAAGCTACCTATAGTTTTATGCCAAGAGCTGCAAAACTATACCACATCAATTTTCATTTTTCCTTAAATTTAATTGTAAATCTATTTGAATTAAAGTCTGAAAAACTCTCATCCATCTTTTTAGTGCAAATGCATGAATCTGAATAAAATTTAAACCAAATAGATTTTTAAGTTACGTATACCTTTAGCCCAACACATTGGAAATGGACTACAGCCGCTCTTCTCCATACAGACGGCACCTGCTGGTCTCAGGGCCCCTTGGCCCGCCAGTTCCAGCAACATAAACTCAGGTCTCTCAAGATCAGACCAGGCGTCCGCGCACCAAGTCCCCGTTCATCGCTCCCACAGCGTTCGCTTCGATCCACAGCCACACTAAGTTTCCCCTGTGTGCTCCTTTTCTCAGAAATTGAAGCAAAATTTGGGAGGTGCTCCTTCTGTAATATTTTCCAGCAGCTTGAAGAATGCCTCTCAGTTACAGAATCTTCTCCTGCGTCCGCAATCTGAAACACAGACCATCCTGGCTAGATTAAGCTCCTGAGCAGAATGAAACCTGCTAGTAATGTGACCCCCACGGGCCTGTGTTCCTAGATTCATTCAGGGAAGGAGAGAGGGAGGGAGGGGAAAGAGGGAGGAGAAAAAGAAGGCCAGTAGCCAGCACCTGATTAATATGCTAATCCCACCCTTCTGCTCAATTCATCTGGCAGACCTCTGCTCACAAAACCAACAGGCAATTCTAAAATTGAGTAAGCTGCAAATCAAGTCTGACCCAGATCATGTCTGTAGATGGCTCCTCCAACTATTTTTGTTTTCAAAGTCATGCCTTTGGCCTTTTACCGGCCTAATTCTGACCTTAAGACTTAAGATAATTGCCTTGATGAAAAATGAGTAATACTGGGGGAAAAACCTTGATCAACATTAAAAGCAAATCTGTAAGAACTATGTCTATAGGAACCCAGGTATTTCCAAGGTAAAGACTTTTTTCAGATTGATAGTTTCGAAGTATGTTTGCAAATTTATAAAAGTATTTAGAAAACACATAAAAACAAGAATTTGAAGTTATGAGATTCTTTTAAAACTAGCTTAGGAAATGTTGAGGAATCCAAGATACCTGATTTCTTAATTTCAAAACATGAGTGAGTACTAAACTCATATTCCTGAAGGAGGAGGACAGAAAAACACTCTTAACAATCTGTACTAGTAACTTTTTTCAAAAAATGTAAAGCTACTTACACTTTTTCCATTCAAACTGAGAGACAGTCTCGGTCGTCTCTAAAATGTAGCTATTTAAACACACTCCACTCTGGCAGTAAGACAGTAAGAAACTGGGCTCCTACAGCCTCTGTTGTCTGAGCACACGTGATACATATGCAAGACATACACAGTTCAGCTCTCCTATTACGTGGGTAATTCTGTTTGTAGCAAATCCCATTAACGAAGAAAAAATCAAGTCTTCTACTTAACTGTGAACACGACAGAGGCTTTATGAATTCACCAACTTGTGAAAACAAGAGCTGACAAAGGCTAGGGGAACAAGAGGCCTATCTGTGTCCAGTAATGCCCCAAGACAGCTAGTTTCATTTCTGACACACTACTCTCGATGATGGCTTTGTCTCCAGAAGTTACATTCAGCCTCCTAATAGCAGTCAGAGCTCAAATAACCTCTTAGATGCCCCCAGTGAAAACACATCATTCACCAGCGTGAACTCTGACCCCAGGCAACACTGGGAAGAAAAGGGGCTCCAGAAAAACACAGGCGAGCAAGCTAGGAAGGAAACCGAAGAAACAAGCAGATAGATCACCATTACCGAGGACACTCGGGACACAAAGGCCTACTCTCATCATAGGAGGAATCCAAGTACACCCCACGAGCAAGTCTGGTATCTGACCCAGGCCCCTGAGAATGGCTTGGGATTTAATCTGAACCATCAAATAATATACATGCCAACGACACAAGCAAACTCTGAGTCTCTCTTGGAACTTATGACTCTATAGAGTTAAAAAACAGAAGCTACCTTTACTAGTTGCCAACGGTATTTTACACACCCAATTTTCACATCTTCTAAGCAAAATCAGTGCTGTCACATCTTCTAAAGATGAGTTAAAGATGGAGTCAGTTAGGAAGAGACACAGTTTCACTGAGCCCACCTGTCATCCAAGAGGCCAGAGGTCTTCACGTAAGCACACACCCAGAAAAGGTTTTTGAGCCATACTGACTAAATGCTGTAAGCAGCACCTGCACAGGAGAGAGAGGCTGGTGCCAGCGAGTGACGGCGGCGGCTGGGGCCTCCATGGCAGTAGAGGAGGTGACGAGAGGACAGACGTGGGAGCTCTTCAGGTGTGGGAGAGGGGAAACCAAGTCTCTGACTGCAAAGTAACCAGTGGGGAGCAGCTTTCTCTCCCACCCCACCAAAGCTAATTCACATTCATCTCAAGATCCAAATATCACCTCCTCGTGTGCAAAGTCCTGAGGGTACAAAAGATGACAAGATCCAAGAAGCAAAGACCCCTCCAGGCCAACAAGCAGAGCCCAGCCGGAAGAGCTGAGAAGCACTGGGGCTGCTGAGAAGAGCAGACAGGCAGAGGAGGACAGGGCTCGGCCACACAAAGGAGAAGCTACTGTGCTAGGCGTTCTCCCAGAGAAAACCATCGTACTTCACTCCTGACACAACCCCAACCAAGCGGTTCATTCCCGCGTGCAGCGAAGAGGAGAGTGTGGTTCAGGCGGTGGGGCACAGGCCTACGGCCAAAGGGCTGAGAAACTACACGAGGACCAGTCACTCTGTGACAGCATCACTCCTGTTTTCTTCCCGCTCAATAGGAAGGAAAGCCCCAATTATGCTCCTAGATTCCCGATCCAGTAACGTCTTGAAAAGAGCAGGAAAGGCCTATGTTAATGGTGGCGTAAGTGAAAAAAGTGGGCAGTCCCTTTATGCCCTCTGAATAACAAACTCTACAACACACTAACATAAAGGCAGTCATTCCTTAAGAAGTTCCACAGATTCTTCAAAAAACTCTTCAGCATATCAGTAGAGTTGAAAGCAACTCTGGGAAGTCCTACCTCACAGGTAAACTCTTCATTAAAACTTGCAAGAAAGATACTACGATTTGCTCGGACTCCAATCCAGTCATCCTGGACTCCTATCTGTCTCTTTCCTCAAAGCAATCCATCAGCAAAACCCAGTATCCTTGCCTTTAAAATAAATCCGGACTGTGTACGTGCCCCCACGTCCACAGCCGCCACCGGCCCAGGCTGTTGCCATGCTCCACCGGCCGCGGTTACAGGTCTCACCGCCCTGTACTCTGTTCCCGACCAGCAGCCACACCAACCCCTTCGCGACGCCCATCACACCATTTCACTCCTCTGCTAAAACTCACCAACACTTCCCCAGTTCTGCCAGAAGCAGTGCTTACTACCTACTCAGCATGGTCCGCAAGGCTCTGTGCGGGTGGCTCCCCTCCCACCTGCAGCCCTCGGTCTCGCCATGGCCTGGCTCCCGTTTCCTGGGCTTCGACACACTGACCTCCCTGCTGTCCTCTGCCCACCTTTACACTGCCTGCCCCATGCCCTTACTTAGCCTGCTTCATTTCCCACAGCACTCACACCTTCTCAGATACCACGTGACTGAATTACACGGTATGTTTGTTGTCTGGCTGCCCCCATTACAACCCAATCTCCAAGGCAAGAAAGAATCTGGTCTGCATACTGTCTTCCGGGCCCTATTACAGAAGTGGTCAGTAAGAGGTACCGGCCACATTCTGCACATCCATCTGTCACCTAAAGGTAACAAGGAGATGGCAGAGGGAATTTTTCTTCTCTTTTAGAGGCCATGGCCACAGAAGAGGCATCTAGATGTTCTAGATGTCAGGACTCGCACTAAGCTCAGTGACAGCATAGCCTGCCTCAATCTTGGGCACTGCTTCACCTCTGAGACCCTGCTCAGTTCAGGGGCTTGATAAGGATTCACTGAATAAGTGAAGTAAACTATATGAGAATGTTGCTTTTTCAAGAATATAAGAAATGGAAAAAGAAAAACTGACACAAAATCTAGGAAAACCATGTGGACCACCTCTCCCCATCCCACCTAAAAAATAAATCACACAACTCTAGCATTCTGGTACTCCTATGAGAACTTCCATTTCAAATTTCAGTACGACAAAAATGACAATACTGTGTGAGATGAGACAGAAATCATCAGAAGGCTAGCAAAGAAGGCGATGAGCAAGATCAGCAAGAAGGAAAGGGAATTCTAAACCCTTTCATAGACTGCGCAGTACTGCCCAATATGGCTTCCCCACAGAAACCTGGCCTGAGGTGAGAAAGTCACTAGAAAGAACTATTCAGAAAGAAGCTGCTTCTCTCTCTCTCAAATAAAATCTTAAAAAGCAGGGGGAGGGGCGCCTGGGTGGTTCAGTCAGTTAGGCGTCTGCCTTCAGCTTAGGTCATGATCTCAGGGTCCTGGGATCAAGTGCTGCATCGAGCTCCCTGCTCAATGGGGAGTCTGCTTCTCCCTCTTTCTCTGCCCCTCCCTCCCTTGTGCTTGCTCTCTCTCTCTCTAATAAATAAAATCTTAAAAAGAAAAGAAAAGCTGCTTATAAACGTCACCAAAAGCGTATCACACAAATCCAAGTCTGACTCTCACATTTCTTACACAGTTACACGGTTTTATTTGCTGGCCTTAATAAGTAATACTTGAGGGCAGTACCTCTTGGAAGCGTAAAGCCCTAGTAAATGCTTTCAAGTCAGCTACTAGGAGGAATGTGAAAGAAAACTGTAATTCATATTATACATACAGAATTCAAAATTTACCTCTCTTACTTCTTTTATGTTTGCATTTATCAAGAGTTGATAGATTTACGTAAAATCAGCACTATTATACAACGATAGCTCCAATTAGCAGCTGATCACTACAACATACCCTAACTTCCGAAAGCTGGGTATCCTAACCTAAATTTAATTCTATTAAGACTCACAGAATTATCATTTCTGTGTCATTGTGCCTCACTGTTTCCACCACAAAACAGAAATAACTTTTCTGAAAATTTTAATCTATTCAACAAAAATTAAGACTTGATAAGGACTAAAGAAATTTAGTCATAAGAAAGGATATAATCATGTTCCAAAGACAAACAGCTAATAGGTCTCAAAATACAACACACTCCAAAAGGTGACGGTATTATTCACCGTTCTTGCAGAGTTTCTAACAAGTACTATACCTCCTCCCTTCTGTTACTCGGAAGGTACTCTGGGGAAGCTGAGGAAGGCACTAAATTTGCAACCGGAAGCTACAAAGGAGCCCAGTTCTATCTGTGAGACAAGGACAGACTCATTTCACCATCCTGAACGTCAGTCTGTTCATCTGTACAAGGACAGGGACAATACCTAACATGTAACTACGTGCCTGTCATCAAATAGCGTAACAGCAACACTAATAACCAATGAAAATATAATGATAATAATATAACGGGGATACCAAGTTAATGCTTACTCTGTGCCAAGCCC